TCGCGAGTCCCAGCAACGCGTGCATTAGGGTAAATACGAGAATGGTCATTTTTGTTACGTAGAATCGGATTACCGACACGTTTCTGTAATCGGGGGAACGCTGATATCTGTAACCGGCAGATTACTGATATTGAAAGCCCGTTTTAATGAAATGTAACGAGAGGACTTTCCACGCTAATTTCCCTCGACTGTAGACAATGTGACTCGTACATGGTACCCTTGAATCTTGAATTTTTTTGAAACAGACAGTCAGATAAGATACAGATATTTGTTTGGCTATGTAGCGATTTGATTAATTGTACACACGGTAAACATTGCACTATAGTAAAATATTGAAATTAGATGTTTGTTATGTTCACTAATTAATCGACATTTGACATAATTAAGCTAAAATACGAAAGATACAATACTGTATAATAATAACATCGCCATCTAATGAACATGCCCAAGAGATTAAATTGTTTTTAATTTACCATTTTGCTCTAATCTATTTGTGCATTAGTTTTAATATAATCTATATAATTAGTTGATACGTTTATATAAATATATTTGCAAAATATCTTAAATATATCTACTTGGAGCCAACCCGTACTGATACTATAAAAAAATAAAAGCGATGTAATGAAAACGCTTTAGACTAGACTGTGGATGTTTATGCAGATTTTTCAATTCTACGTCCTTCAAAGTCTCCACGAATGCATAGACCTGCGATCTACTTACGACAATCGCATTAGCACCGACTAGATAAAGAACCCTCGCGATCAACATTCGCCACCTCGACCTCGAGTCAGTCATTCCTCGAATCATTCGGATCTTGACTGAAAGCGTGTGGGCTGAGCCGAAAACGAAAAATCCCTTTCTTTAGGAAAATTATCGACGGTTCGAGGGGAGTGGCGCCGATCCAGTCGGAAAGCACCATTGATACGAAAACGAGTATCGACTTTGACCGTCCACCGGCTCTCACCTTTGCCAGTACGTTCCTTTTAATCTATCCGCGTGGCGCAACGTTCCTCTGCCTCCGGGGACTTTCGGATAGCAATGGAAGAAAAAGAAAAAAAGAGCGAAAGAGAGGCAGGGGGAAAAAGAGCGGAGGAAAAAAGGGGAAAAAAGGGAGAAAAAAGGAGATCCATGCGGAATCGCGCGCGTCGAGTACGTGGAACGCATTACACGATCATCGCGTACGGAAAGCCCAGATCAATTACATAATGGCGCGACTGAAACGGATGCTCTTCAACCACCGCCCCGAGCCCCCTTAGCCCCGTCCCACACCCGAAGCGTCCCCGTGCTCCTGGCGCACCAGCCCCTTTCGCAAAGTGACTATAGAACAAAGGGTTGAGCCTCTTCTCTGCGGGCGCAGTAATTATTATGCTCTTTGACGATCCCTCTGTCTGTCAACGGTAACGCCAACGAAATCGATACTTCTAAAACTTTAATCGTTTCGCGTATGAGTGACATGCTTTCGCGTTAAGCCGCGCATGTAAAAATATTTGAGGTCCGCGGCCGACCGCTCGCATCGAGGAGACCGCCAGGGGAGAGAGAGTCGATCGAGAAGGTGTCGAGAAGGGCACGATCCGTGCCGATGATTTTTCTTTCATCTGAATCGATTAACGATCACGATGGGATGAGGCGAAAATCTTTTCTAGTTAGGGGAGAGTTCCGGTTTTGACGATACGATGATTGGTATGGCCGAATGTATTAAGTTTCCTTTCTTTCTTTCTTTCTTTTTTTTTTGTAGGACGAATGCCGATATACTTGAGATACTTGAACCTTGGGACATCAGATTTTGACGATATAGGATCCAACAATTTATTACATAGATTTTGATATCGAGATCGTAATCGTGTAACATTAATACCTACGATTGTTATAACGATTATTATATATACCATATTGAAAACTTAATGTGTTAATGTAAAATCTGATCGATTTTAAGTGCAGAGTATGGGATCCAACAACGACGAAGTTCTAATGACATGCTAACAAATAAATTTAAATTTACAATGAATATCAAAGTCACTAGAGCTACGGGCACGTTTATCAATTTATCAAGACAAACTTTAAGCCCTTCCAATTTCCAAATTTTAAACACTACATTGTACAAAACGAAATATTCGATATCACCTCAGACGGGCAGAAATTAAGATATTTAATCGAGACAAAACTGAATCGCGGCGCGCGACAATTAAAAAATTTCCGAGCGTGCTTATCAGAGCGAATCAAACATCGATTCAACAAACAGACCGATAAGAAATTGTTGACTCTGTGTATTTCAGCGAAAAAAAAAAAAAAAAA